ACATGCCCCAGAGAACGTCTGGAAATTCCGCTTTGTAGTTTGAGAGCAAGAATCAAAAACCTGGCCAGAATCTGCTTGGCAACATGGGGATAGAATAACTCAACCAGCTGGGATGCTTCTAGCCACTGCGTGGGACTGAGACAATGGGGTAACTATATTTTTGCAGCTTCTGTAGAAATTTCTCTCTAAAGCATCCGTCACTCTTGCCATCTAAACCAATGGTGAGTATAAAGATCTAGGACATCCTTGGGCAGCATCATGCCTTGATCCGTGCTAAAGCTGTACAAGAGTTTCCATACTGCTGAGGGTAAATGAGCAATCTACTGGCTCAGATTCCAGTGAGCGGTTCATTAAAACAGTAATGGGTGTGTTGCCCACATGGTGGGTAACAGGCTGAAAGTGGTTCTGTAGCCTGAGGAACACCAGTTGCATTTTGTAATAGGAGACGCTTTAGCATCTTGCAATGAAGGTACTAGACTAACTAAGCTTTCCAGTGGATTTTATTTTTAGGTTAGAGGTGCAATGGTATTTTGTGGCCCTGCTGTGATACTCTTGGGATGACCAACATGTTGCTATGAAATGTTTACCTGTTGAGTAAATCACATCAGCCTTGATTCCTTCCCTAATGAACTATCTTAATGTCATCCAAATATGCAACTAAGGGTCTTGGTGAGAGCAGGCAAATGGGAGTCTGCCTATAAACCAGTTTTAATATCTTGATAAGCGGAAAAATGTGACCTTAACACTCTGTCTTCCCTTTTCATGACAGGGACATTCTATGCCCGGGAGCCAGTATCTGTGCTCTACAGGTTTGTGAGAGAAGCACTGAGGGATGATTGGATGCCCTTTGAGCTACTTGCACCTGGAGGTGTCAAACTGACTGAAGAGAACTTGGCATTCAATGAGTGTGGGCTGGTGAGTAAAGCGATCTAGTTGAAGCCACTTACAGCAGATACAAACCTGTTCAGTGAAAGGAAATGGGACTGTAATAATTCTGGTCCCAGTGGTGGTCTAATCTCTTGTGATACTGAACTGCTCTGTCCTCGGCTCAGTGCAGTTAAACTTCAGCCTGGTTGCTAGATGAACTATCCCTTACCTCAGAGCTCAGGGAAAGCTTTTGGCACAGGGCTAGGAACTTTGCACTGTATGTCCTGTCTTCCTGCCTGTCAAAGGTCTTCCAAAACCAACATTCCAACTCTCGTACACCTGGAAGACCATTTTCAAGGGGTTAAAGATGCGTAAAATACTCATTGACCAGCTTCAGTGTAGTTACTGTTAACGTCTAGTACATTTTCTGCTTGTCCTAGGTGCCCTCTGCTCTCCTGACTTTTGCATGGGATGCAGCTGTCATGGCAGACGTAAAAGCTTCAGGAGAAGAGCAGAAAGGAAGCCCCTTGAAACCAGAACTCCTTTCTGCTGTCCAGATATTGTCATGAAATAAACAGGATTGGATTCAGTGTGGTTGGCTCTATTATGTGCTGTTGCCTCCTCCCCTGCACTCCTCAAGCATGAAAATGGAAGCTGCCTAACTATTTGTCACAAACTTGAGGGAAGACTTCAATTTTAGCTAGAGCATTAGGAGGCCAGGTTTCAGAATGCATTGTGCATTAGCATAATCACCTCCAGTTCAGAGAGGAGTGGCTATATAATGGGACATGAGGACTGTATTTAAACAGATTTAATAGTCTGAAGACAGTCTTGCCCAGAAAACTTTAAATGTGCTGCTTTTATATAACTTATTGTAAAAAGTTATTTTGGTTACTCTGTTTAATCTCTTTTCTAGTTTGGCTACAGAGAATAAAAATCCACCCTACTGAACCGTAGCAAACCAAGGACAGCTGCAAGACTATCCCATTATTGAGTTTTGATAGTGGGCAGGGCTAGTGTTCACTTTTCCTTATGCTTCTATTGTACAAAAACTGCTGCTGAATGAGACTTGTTTAAAACTAATTATGTTCACGAACTTGTTAAATTGATTAAATGGACTACTTGGAAATGCAGTCTCCTTGAGTCAGGTTATTGAGTTAACTTGCCTTAGAGTTAAGGCTGTGCGTTTGTCACAGAGATCGCTGGTGCTGTTTCAGGGGCTGGGCAGTTCCAGGGCCAGCAGCAGCAGTGTGGGAGGGGGTTTAGGGATTTCTGGCTCCCATGAGCATGACCTGCAGCTCCTAGGTGGTGGAGGGACCAAGGGGCTGTAGTTCCCAGCCAGTGGGATCAGCAGAGCTCCTGCCCTGGCCCCTTTACTGCCTAGGAGCTGCAGGGACAGGGAGCCCCTACCAGTTTCTCCACCTCCCCCAGCATCCTGCCCAAGTCTTGGTCACAGTGGATATTTTTAGTAAAAGTCATGGACAGGTCACAGGCCTGTGAATTTTTGTTAGCCCTTGATCAGTCCATGACTTTTCCTAAAAATAGTAGACTAAAATGTAGCCTTGCTTATAGTCCCTGGGGGGGTGGAGGGAGACAGGTTCCAGGCTTAATTTCTGAATGAGGGGGAGGGAAGATACCAAGCCTGTATGTCTATGTAATCTGATATCAGACTACTGCTGCTTCCAGGTGCAGACTGAAGTAGAGGTCAAGTGAGGAATTTAACACAAGCTAGTGAACTTGGCCATGGAGAAAGAGGCAAAACTGCCACCCTACAGCTGAATGGAGGGGTCTACCCCAGCACCAACTAGAGAGCAAATAATACACCTCTAACTTAAAGCCCCTATTTTAGGAGAAAGCTTGAGCATCCTGCTGTAAGTGGGAAAATAACATAGTGCAGAAGGGTGCAGCATGGGGTACAGCCTGTTGGATACCTCTCCTCACAAATTAAAGAGGGGACAAAATACAAGTCTGCTACTTTTCTAAATTATACATATAAACCAAGGGAATTTGCATACTCCTAGCATAGGAGTAAGTTCTAAACCTAAATGCAGGAGGGAAATGACTTAACCTGCAGGTTAAGTGGTGCTTCCAGCAGAAGCTGAGTGAGATATGAGTACTAAATTAATTTCACTAAGGCTATTAAAAAATGGAGAAGCCTAAACATACAGATGGTACAGACTTGAAAGTCATTCAGCTAGTCTTGACAATGTCACGTTTAAGGTCTGAGACATAGTGGTGATGTCAGTGGCCATGGCTACTTTTTCCTTAGTATAGATATAACACACTCTGTCCAAGTTGTAGTATGTTTCTTAAAGGGTTCATTTTCCCTCCATTAGAGCTTGATAGTCCTATCCCAACTGCAGAGTTTGGAGTAAAATGGTAAGAAAAGGAAAAACAATTTAAGATCTTTCCCTTCTCACTTTAGACTCACTTCTATCTAGTGGATCAGTTAAAGTGGATAGAGATGAGGCTAGCCCCTTGAGTTCAAGATCATACCCTGCAAAGGGATGGCCTGGAGGAAGGCTACAGTGGGGAGGTCTCCAGGAAGTTAAGTTTTTGAACTGTAACTAGAAGCCAACACAGATCTAGCTGATGGCAACAGGCTCTCTCCACTCCCCTTCTCTAGGAAGCAGGCAGTGTACATGGAAGTCCAGTCAGAAAAGAGCTACAAGATTATCTGAATGCTGGACCATGCTTTCCAGTAAGAGTTGGTTCCTTATGAGAGAGGCAATTTGATCAGTCTATAAATACATAGATAGGGCAAAGAACACATGCTAGAAGGGCTAATCTAGCAGACAAATTCAAACTGAACATAATACACATTTAACATTCTCCATTACTCAAGTGTGTTTTGGTTTTTTTTTAAACACAGATCTGCTGTAGTTCAACTTCAAGTTACAGGGAATCAATGCAGGAGTTACTGGAAGAAATTCTAGTGTCTTTTTTGGAGGAGCTTAGACTAGGAAGATCTAATGGTTCCTTTTAGCCATTTAAAAAAAAACCCAATCTATGAAACCTGTCTAGTCAATGACAAGTACATAGTCTGGCAGAAAGAGCAAAAAAACTGTGTGCAGAGTCAGATTATCCCTCAGATGCTTTGGAGATTGTAGGTTCATGGGTAAATTTATACTGACAGTCAACATATTACAGCACTGTCTTTCAAATTGCAATCAGATCATGAGATGCCTAGAGCCTGAAAGTTTAGATAAATTTAGATTAGCTATGTGCTAGCAGAGTCCCTTAGCTCAACCATTAGATCTGCTCTCAGCTTCCACTAAAGTTGTATATGCAAAAAATCCATACATCACTGATTATGTCTAGGCTTGGAAGGATTCGATCATCAGTAAACAATCTGTCACATACACACAAACCAAAGGAATTTCTATTGATAATTTATAGATAAAAGAAAAATGCTGTTTGAGAACTTTAGAGTTTGATTTAAGGGTATTTACTTTGTATATTTTGACATGTTGACAATGTGTTTTAACCATTAAAGCTTTGTTTTGAATCTGTGTCATTAAATATTTCCCACAATGGTGAACACTTACATTGATAAATATTGAAAAATGCTTAAAACCCACAATTTTGCACAACTGAAGACAAACTAATAAAGCTTAAAAATAAACATCCATCAAAATAATCAAATTCTGCCAAGCCTATTTATACAGATCATCAGGGTTTTAAGAACAAAAAAAAAAATCTGTATGTCAGACACTTGAATCTCTTCACCCAGATTCAGTTGGTTTTGGCCTATACCAGTGTTTCTCAATCTTTTTGATACCAGGGGCCAGCTTGCTGCCTTCAACTGTGTCAGGGACAGCTCAGGGACGAGTGCCAGCCCACAGACCAGTCATTGAGAAACACTGGCCTATACCACCTCACATATGTTCTCTCCCTCCCCGCACAGAACACTCATCCCTGGAAGTGTTCCTATAGGAAGGGGGACCAGAAAAAGGACAAAATGTACAATTATATTTGAATTTGCTACCATGTCACCATTTATGCCCCAAAAGCCATGCTATACAGAATTATGATCAGAAGACTTGCCCATGGGCATTGCAGTCAGCTTACATTCAAGATCACACAGCTAACTTTGCTTAGAGAGCACAAGTTAGATACTTTCATACAAAATATCAATTTCAATAATGCTTTATTAAAGAGATTAATATGCAATATTTTTAGCTAAAAATATTAAAACTAAAATTTTCAAGATTTCATCTGTTCTGCTTTAGACCAAAGTGCTGTCTTCTCTTTACAAGAAATATGGAATACTTTCAAGTATCTTGTACAAAGATACACAAGTTTTAAAAAAATCCTAAAAATTCTACATACATACAGAGGGGTTAGTAGGTATTAAGTATCAAACTCTGTTAGATGGGCCAACTGCAATAGCCTTCTGAATGGGGACAATCTCCATTGCACCATCTGATTCTGAAGTAGTTTCACTAATTGCAGATGTAGAATCTGTGAAGTAGAAAAATGTTTTACACTGTCACAACTAATACAGTGCAACTCAGCAGCTGCAATATATCCTCATTAAAAAGTGTAGTTCATGTTAGAGCCTCTGGCTGAGTCTTCGGGGTTGTCTACTCAAAATATGCATTACTGGTACAAGCCCCTGTGTAGACACTTTTTTCAGTGGCTGATTTTAGCTTAGACAGTTAAAGGACAAACTAAGCCAAAATAAATTGTTTACACCTAAAATGGTCATCCACAGCCTTGTGCACTGATTACTTTTTTTTTTAAAAATCCCTTCATCAAACCAGTTCAAGTTTGTGTTTGGATAAGTCTTTAGAGGAAAATAGAGCCCTATTTCTCAGCACAAGAGGTTAGAGCCTTTAAGTTGCTCTGCTTTTTTGGGACTTCAAAATAATCTTGCTGTGCATTTCAAATAATGCATACAATTTTATCTTAAAGATATCCAATGTTTAAAAATATTGTCTATTAAGCAACAGAAAAAAGGGGAGGATGGTACCATGACATTTCCAGCTGGTGCAGAGAACAGAGATGGCTCAAAGGGGTGGGACATTTTATACCCTCCCTGTCTATGGAATGTAGGATCAAGGAACATTGTTCACCCCATATCTGTGCCAGGTAACTTCTACAGTGCGGCTCTGCAGAGACAGTCTTACAAAGATGAGCCCACTGCAGAAGTCATTAGGGGAACTGAAGGCTCTGACAACTGTAGTACTGTTTTGTACTAAAGTGACCAGCAGAGAAATACTTAATGAAATTAACTTCAGGGTTCAGGTAAAAGCCCATCGAGAGGAAAGAAGCAGTTCCACCCCCTCAGCTATTGTTTCAGACTGAAAATATTGCATTGACTCATACTCTTAAGGTCCTTTTCACAACAAGATCTAAAAAAAGACGCTTGTAAATGATTACTTAGATCCTGGAGCAGAATTCTGCAGCAAGGATTGGATTCTTCATCTGCTAAACAGAAGCCCTGCTTATTACCTAGACCCATTTCCATTAGGAGAAATGCCACAGAGAGGGTGTATATGTGTACGTGTAATGCTTCACAAAACCAGGTAGGTAAGGGTCCTGCAGCAAAAGCATACACAACCTTAGAGAGATTCTTGTGTTAACAGTTGGCACTTCTGAACATGCAGGAAGCTAGGCATTCACAGTTCTCAGCAAGCATAGCACCTTCTGCACGTGGTGTGTTGTCAGGGTTTCATCTGTTCTGCTGAAGATTACTTCACCCAAAGGAGGGGAGAACAGTGTTTTATCTACCAGTATAAATCAGTGATAATTAGCCTGGCAGCCAAAAACAACTCTCAAGCAATTTGCATATATGCAAAGTGTGTTTCCAAACTCTTCTTGTCATATCCTCACCCAACCCTGACTCTTTTTGGTGTGCCAAGGTCACCTTTTCCTCCAGGCACGAGGAGTCGGATTATAATCCGGATGACTGACCAAGGCGCTGAGTAGGGTAGGAAAGAGGAGATCCAGCTTAGTACTGACTGGAATGGGAGATTTGCAGTATTGTTGTAGCAATGTTGATCGCAGGATCTTAGAGACACAAGATGGGTGAGGAAATATCTTTTATTGGACCAACTTCTGTTGAGGAAAAAAAAAAAACTTTCGAGCTACACAGAACTCTTCAGACAACAGCTCTGGGGGTAGCTTCTCTTTCATCAACAGAAGTTGGTCCAATACAGAATATTACCTCACGCACCTTGTCTCTGAAATGGCAGAAGTGGTTAGAGGAGGGAGCACTAGTAAGGTCTGCTGGTCTGGGACCTATTAAGTGGTGTGGAGAAGTGTCAGAAGAGCAGGCAGCAAAACACTCAGCCAAGGTTAGGACAACCTGGCACCTGGGAGCAAACAGCAAATGTGGACTGAGGAGGGTGACCGCAGCACTAACAGATGAGGTGTCAATAATAGGTGTTATACTGAATGAACTAGCCCAGGTGGAAATAATGGTGTGAAGAACTGCAATGGTGTTAGAGGTATGTCCTGTTCACATTCTGCTGAATTTACTAGCCATTTAAGTACTGTCTCACTGTGTGGCCCCTGGGAGCAGATCTGTCAAGAACCACTTGTCAGAGATCATTTCTCACCTTTCCCTGGTTGTATGTCCACAATCATACAGTCATCTTCCTCCTCTTCTTCAGTGTCTGCCTGGAACCCATCCATTTCCACAGCGTCAGCCTTTAAATAAACCAAAAAGCTGCACCAGATACCGGCAGACTTAGTTGCTACTGACTGTTTAACATGCAAAATGATCAGATCACATTCTCCAGTGGATTAGGCAGCACAGAAAGGAATTCAAGCCTGTCTATAGTGAGCATTTCTTATAGTATGTGCTTTCAGAATCTCCTGAACAAAGTTAGGCATAGCGTTCCGCAGGGATGAACTAATCTGACTTCACACACAACCTGGGCCCCTTGTCAAAAGTCAGCATCTATCTTACTATGTCAGATTTCCTGCTACACAAGTTGCTGTATCAAAAAACTGCTTGCTAAAACATAGGGGCTATTATTAATTGCCTTTTGTGTAAGGTACAAACTGTTCTCCCTGAGCTGAAACATGATCTCAAGGTTTGTTCTGAAAGGGACGTTTCACTTTTTTAAAATTAAAACGTTTTAAAAAAAGTTTCTTTTGCTTTCAATAGGGAATCACATCTGGAAAATCATCATTTTTCTTACCAAAATTTCCCCTTCAGGATTTCCCCGCCCCCCCCCGTGTTTAAAAAGGAACTAATTTTTCCTTTTTTATGGAACAGTAATGGGAACAGTGGTGACTGCTGCTTTTGAGCCAAAGGGAGTACAAGAGTGGAATTAAAGGAATTGGGGGACATTGTGCTTACTCCACAGTGAATTGCTTCTATTATTTTTCCTAAAATTAGAGAGAGAAAAACCTAGATTCCCAGCTAGGTTCTCCCACACCACTCAGATTAAAATATGCCTTATCTTAAAACTAACTGTTTTAAGGTGTCTGATAATGTCCTTCATGTTTTAATTTAAAGCTATGCATTAATCAAGATTCAGTTTGTTCACATGTGCACTGGTTCTCAACAGTTATAGTAGTGACTTGCTTTTGCTCTTCAACTTAAGAGCACCAGAATTTAGAAGACAGAACCAGAAAGCATGATGAAGTATCAGGATAGCAGAAGGATGACTAGGTAACAAGAGGGAAAAGAAAACAGCTTATTGAAAGGTATTTTCACTGAGACCTGGCTGCATGGACCCAAACAATCCAATTTTGATTTTTCCAACAAGCATCCACCCTATCTGAGGGGAGGAACAAGACAACAGATAGCAGCAGTGACAAGTTGACTGGAAGGCACTAATGCAAATAATCTTTCTGAAAGCTTTCTGCACATTGTTCCAAACTGCACTGTGTCCCCAGCATTGAGTTCTACTTTAAGAAGTTGCATGTAGCAGCATCCAGAGCAGAGCTTGAGTGTCTGTATAATAATGCTGTTTACCAGTACACTCAGTCTCCCTCTTCTTCCCTTCCTCTTGCAGGAGAATCATGGCCCATAGTTAACTGCTTGAGTGAACATCAAGCAGAGGTTTTAGGCTCTGCCTTACTCAGTGTGTAGGCCAATCAATAGCCAGGAACTCTCGGGGCAGGAACAGCTTCAGTGCAAGCCTCCAAAATGATGTTACTCAGAGCAGCTTCACATGCAGGAGGAAGAGAAAAAGGCCCAACATGCTAAGAGTAAGATGAAGTAGTAGAGGAAAGAGCTTCAGTCACAGCTGGGACAAGAAATGCATGCAGTCTGCTGAGCAAAGTTCTACCTCTGCTCCACACTGCATTAGTAGGCAAGCCCCTCACTGCATTGAATTGGAAAACAACCTTTAGCTCCCTCTTTATTGCCCCAGACTCAGAGCAGACACTCTGGCAGCTGGGAAAATAATTAAAATACGAACAAGTTAAAGCCCTGGTTGTGGCTTTAATGAACACAATCTTTCCTACCTTTTAACTGGACTTACAAATAGACCTCTCTTGAAATAATTTTAATAAAAGTATGCAGTGTTGGTGTAGTTCTGTTGGTCACAGGATATGAGAGGGACAAAGATGGGTAATATCTTTTATTAGACCAACTTCTGTTGGAGAGAGACAAGCTTTCAAGCTTACACAGAGCTCTTCTTCAGGTCTGGGAAACTTACTCAAAGTGTCACAGCTAAATACAAGATGGAACAGATTGTTTAGCCTAAGTAGTTAACACATTTCAAGGGACCATTCAAAGCAAAGTGGCCCACTAATATCCCTCCAGTCATAGGGAGGAAAGGAAAGGGGGTTCTTAGTGGGTTATAGATTATAATAAGCAGCCATAAATTCAGTGTCTTTTCAGTCCATGATTTTTAGTATCTAGTACATTTATTAATTTAAGCTTCGAGGCTTGTCTGTTGAAAGTGTGCGGGTTTCCTTTGAAGACTGAGAGGTCAGATATAGTGATCACTTTGTGAAAAGTGTTCACCCACAGGTTATATGATATTTGTCTTTTATCATTTGCCTATGAGAGTTTATTTGAGAGCATAGTGATGGTCTAGTTTCACCCACATAGTTGCTATTGCGGCATTTACTACACTAGATGAGGTACTCCTCGTGTTATGATAGGCACATTTAGGATCATGGATCTTGAAAGTGAAATTTAAGAGCAATGTAACATCTGAAATTCTTATTAAAATCTGCAATTACACAGAAGCAGGGAAGAGAACAGAAGGAAACATGTAGCCTAAAACTAGAGCACATTATAAACACTCAGTTTTGCCTCGTGTCATGTTGTACTCTAGGACTGCCTAAGAGTACTAGGTTGTCTTGACAGTTACCCTGGTGGGTATATTTTGCCAATCTACTGTGCTATGAGGCCTTACAAGCAACAGTTAAGGATTTAGTCCACAGATACTTACAGCTTATGTTCAATACATACAAGCAACCGAGAGCAAGAGGTGAGAGTAGTGAGTCAAGGCTAGGCTGCAAGGAAGATATCTGACAGCGATAGAATGCATTGTTTCACAAGCATACAGGATGAGCACTGCAGTATGAACAGGGTTAGCTAGGTGTTCAGAAAGCATTTGTGATTTGGAGGTGATCATTACCCACATAGGGGAAAGTGGAGGGACAGAAAGAAAAGTTGCCAATATTTTAAATCAGACTTCCTATTCAACTTGAAAACTAGAACTCGAAAGAAGCATCTTACCTATCAAATTAATGTATCAGCTTTCCCTCTCTCGCTACCCCATATCACAAGGGATTCAATACAGTGAAATTCAGGACACTATTCCCTCTGCAAAACCAACATTTTGCCATCTATAGGGAGATCCATGCTTGCCCAGTTAGATCACCACTATTCTATGTTAAAGATTCTCAGCACCTTCCGAGTACATCAAGTTAAAATGTTCTTAAAGAAACTCACCTGTTCTGGATCCCTAGGTTTTTTCATGAACTTGGTGATAGACATGCTTCCTGTTGACTTCCTCTTTACTGAAACTGGAGTGGTTTGTATCACTCCTGGTCCACTGCTATTGTCCTCCTTGGCTGCAGAAAGGACTGGTGTGATGTAGTTCCACTGACAAGGAACAGGAAGGTGCTCTTGGTCAAAGCTTTTCAGCACCTCTGAGTGGACATACCAACACATCCTATAGTCAGGTCTCTTCTCATACACAGAGTTCTCTGAAATAATTCGCTTTAGTCTGGCTTTGGAAGGGATAGCAGAGTCCTCGTTGACTGGAGTCTGCGGGCGGGAAGTGTTGGGACTTGTAGGACTACCATCACTAATATCTGGGGCTAGGGGCGTTTCACTGAACAATCCTTGGCGGCAACACTCCTGGAATTCATGGATGATCACTTTACTTCCATTGACATTCCCATGGAGCAGCGGAAGCAGTTGTCCCAAGACTGGAGAGAAAAAGACAATTGCATGTATGTTTTTGAAGGCAAGCTGTTATATGCCTACAGCTCAGGATAAGTCATTGACTCACTGATATAAACTAAGCAGTTGTTACCAAAAAAAACAAAAAACCCCACACAGGAGTTGTGGTCACTCAAAGTACATGGGGAGAGCACTTTCCAAAATTCTGTTAAGCAATGCAAGCAGTGCAACAGCCCAGTATGGTTCTATACCCACCATTTTACAGAGAGGGAAAATACTGTTAAACTCAAATAAATCAGTATCAATTGGGAACAGAACCCAAGGGTCCAACCCCATCTCCTGCTCTAGCCCTCCCTCTGTTTTCATAGTATTAGCATCCTGTTAACTAGTTCTGCCTCTTTAGCATTTATCATTAATAGAGACAATGAATAGTATATAGGGCTATAATTGAACACAAAATTGTCTTATTTCTAATCTTTTTCCACAGCAAAAGGCTCCAGCGTTTATAGCAAGCTACAGATTTCAGATGGAACATAGAACTACCCAGCATGGAAAAGTTTCCACGAAATTCACCTGCAAATATTTCTGACTTCACACTAGTCATTTAACACTATTCATTATTTTGAACATTAAACAAACTTAGATTGGATACATGAGGAGTTTCCTCACAGGCGGCATCCGATTTAGTGCTACACAGGAGAAAGCACAAAGGTTTGGCCCTTCCCAGTCTTACTTTGCTGGTCTTTTGTCCTTTTTTTGCTAGTTTTCTGCATCTGCTCTTCCTCGGCAACAGATGAATCCAGAATACAAACTGCAAACTGCTGAAGCACCTTTAGGTCTGCATCTGCACTGCTGTTGCTTTCTTCTGTTTCCCAGATGGAGCCAATCTTCACAGCCTGAAGAACATGGAACCTCTTCCCCTTGGCTATCAGTTCATCCCACTCCTTTGCTTTCAGCTTCTGACGAACTTTTTGATTCTCTGGATCATGCTCCTGAAAGTCAAGAAAAGCCTCTGACTCACTAATTCCAGAAAAATTGAAATTCTCTCACTTCTGCTTCATAGTGTGTTCAGAGTTAAGAGAAATCAAAAGTATGAGGCACAATGTTTGAAGGAAATACTTCGGGAAGAAAGCTATCAAATTAATGGACCCATACAGGGCTGAGAAATAGTACAATCACAGCTTTACAGTAAAAGTGTGCCAGAAAACCCCCTATTCTCAATCTCTAATGAACTGATGGTGATTTACTAAATATCTAGCAGTCATAGAGCTTGTCATCCATGAATCTCATAGGCAGGAAATAGCCCCTTTTACAGATGGAGAACGGAGGCACAGGGAGGTGATGTAAATCAAAGTTACGCAGTAGGCCAGTGGCAGAGCTGAGACTAGAACACTGGTTTCCCGAGTCCCATATCCATTAAATACTGTCTCAACAAAGTTTTCAAAATTGCAACTCTTCTAAAAGAGTGTGTGTGTGTGTGTATTATATATATATATATATGTATGTTTCAGAGTAACAGCCGCGTTAGTCTGTATCCGCAGAAAGAACAGGAGTACTTGTGGCACCTTAGAGACTAACCAATTTATTTGAGCATGAGCTATATACACACACAGCGCGCTATTTCAAATACTAGATGGGAAGCCTTGTCATCCTTACTCTCAAGAATGGGATTTCAGCCCATTTCTGATGAATATCGCTTTATAAGCTGTTTAGAAGTGAAGCTTCCAAGTGTAGGGTCACCCTGTTGTAGACGTTTTCCCAGGATGTTACACTCATTTTCCCTGAGACCAGCAAGCTAAAGCACTAAAGTGGCCATTATCAGCTGCTTATTTCCTCTTTTGGCTGGAATATTCCTAGATGTGGGTTTTCACTCTGAGAAGAGGACATCCTCACATTCTGTTTTAAGTTGCCCATACAGCAAAGTTTGTCATCCTTTGGGTCTGGTGGAATTTCTAACACACCCTCTTCATCCTGGACATAAGTTTAGGGCTTGTCTACGCTGGCAATTTAAAGTGATGCAAGTTTCTCGCTCAAGAGGTGTGAAAAAACACCCCCGAGTGCAGCAAGTTGCAGCGCTGTAAAGTGCCAGTGTAGACCGTGCCCTCCCAGCGCTGGGAGCCACGTCTCTTGTGGAGGTGGGTTTTTTTGAGCACTGGGAGAGGTCTCCCCCAGCGCTCTGCCGCGACCACACAAGCCACGCTGAAGCGCTGCCACTAGCCCTTACCATCAGTGTGGTCTTTCACTCCAGTGTTACCTGTATTTCAAATGCTCCTCTAATTCCCACTCACTATACAAATGTGCTATTCTAGAGGTTCGGGAGAAATCATCGTTATATGCTATCCGTAGCTCCTTCTCCTAGCTCAATCTTCCTCTACTTCGCTCACCATAGAAGAGCTTCCTCGGATTTTCATATGACCACACAACATATTAAACTCTGATACAACCTGCTGTTACAAACAGGGATGTAAGTGAATAAAACTGCCTCTGTCTAATGTTGTTCTCCCCTGTTTGGATCAAAATGCTGCAGTATACACCTGTCTGGAAGTGCAAACCCATTGATACGCTGACCGTACAGTGTGCTGAAGGATACATTTCATTTATTTGTTAAACAGATAAGCAGACCTGTCCTATTCTGAGCAGGCTGCATCTCCTCTACCAACTAGCAAAGCATGTAGTTTGCACCAATGAGAACAGTGCCCAAGTCTTCAGAAGTTTGAGCCAACACAGCAGCGCCTTCCTGAAAGGTATGCAACTTATCACACAGTACATTTGGGAAACGAGGAAATTAAGACCCACAGTCACTCAATTCACTTACTTCTGTCACTCCTTCATCCTCGGATAGGTACCCATGGGGTACAAAAAAGCCATCATCATCATCTTCATCTTCTCCTCCCTCTTCCTCATCATCCTGAAGATAAAGTTAACTTTACTAGAAACTGCACTTTATAAGTCACCTAGCAAGAGTTTCAAAAAGCAGCAAGAATCCAGACATGAACAGTCTCAGAAAAGAATGTCATCTGTCTGGTTTGAGACTAACTACAACAAAGCCCTCAGTCCACTATGACAGCTATATTTCTTTTGAATCATCTCCATAACTTTAAGGCTAGCTAGCACAGGAAATCCTCACCCCTTCACTGTGAGAGAGAGACTCTCCTGGTTCTTCTTCTTCCCATTCTTCATCACTATCTATCTCATAGTCGAGCAGTTTCTGTAATGAGAAATGTCCATGTCACCACTCAGTCAATGAGCTCAGAGAGCAATGCAAGAGTTCACGCAACAATTCAAACAGCAGCAAGAGGGAATAAATGACTACTGGTCTGTGAAATGCAAGAGAAGAATGCATGGATATTTGGACACAAAGTCTGCTTCAGAATTGAGAGAAAGCAATCAGTAAGGCCTGGGTAATACCATGCTGATTGTGAAATGCTTACATTGTCCTTTGACCAGGGATTCCTGGGATGAATAACAGTAGTTTTCTTATTCCATGTGCCCCAGTATGCAGGTCGATGATTCTCAGAAAACTGTAGCAGTTTCATCCTGCCAAATTTCTTCCTTTCAGGAACATTGTCCATTTTGCAGCTATCCACAATCACCACATCACTGTTGAAACAAACACAGCCCTCAGTGGTTTCATACTCCACTGCTGCTCAGATAGAACCTACAGACATCACTTAAAGGCCTGAGAGACCCTCTTCAGTTCAGCAGTCTCAAACAATTCTCGAGTATTTGAATTAACTACACATCACCACCATCTTCTTGCAAGGACAAAGCTTCTATCCAGGCCAGGGTCCCTCCCTAAATAACTACACCAACCCGTGTGTAATAGCAGCTCTGTTTTAACTGTGACAGTGTCTTTTTTTTTTTTTTTTAAAGCCATGTTATTTAGACTACGTCTACACTGTGAACCTTACAACAGGGCGGCTCTGCCACTGCAGCCACGCCGCTGTAAGGTTTGTGGTGTAGCCATTCTTTATTGCCGGGAGAGAGCTCTCCTGGTGACAAAATAAAACCACCTCCAACAAGGGGCAGTAGCTTAGCTCTCCACACCAGTGCTTTTCGCCATTAAAACTTTTGTCGTTCACGGGTGTGGTTTTTTCATACTCCCGAGCGACAAAAGTTTTGATGAAAGTGCCCGTGTAGACAAAGCCCTAGATGAAGCAAACAGAGAGCTCCCTGTCTGCATTGGACACTGTTAATGTGCAAGAATGCCTGTGGAGAATGATTTGTGAGCTTGTGTATGGAATCAAGGAAATCTGCATCACAATACATTGCTTCCTGTGGTGAAGAATCTCATACAAGGAAAACCCCACTTTTTTGTGATCACTGCTGTTGGTGCAAACCATTTTCCAACACTGGTTTCACAGTTGGTATGTAAGTGAACAGCAACCCCAAGCCCCAGACTAACCTGTTGACTATGTCAGCACTGCGGTAATAGACAACGGTAGGTCCAGATTTATGTGGCTTGCGGCACTTTAGTTCTTCCAAGAAAGATATGTCGTTATTCTGTGCTTGTAGGAACTGATCTAACTGATCTGAGAGGTCCTGATCAAAGGCAACACGACAGAGTGGGGCCAGGACCATGTTCTCTTTAATTTCAAAGGGAGCAAATTTCCCACAGGAGCCAGCAAGGGTCTGAAATTAAAAGTGCGTTTAGAAATGTTAAAGTCTGAATCCATCAGCATCTGAAAAACAGCAGCAGCCCATTTGAGTTAAATCTAAAGTCCTGATACTTCAAGAGATGCTAGGATCAGGGGTAGTCTATTTTTTGTCAAGGTCCAACTTTCTTGGCCAAGGATTAGTGAAGGTCCAGACTCCAGAGAAAATAATTAAAAATAAATAATGATAATTAATAAATAAAAACATTTTGGGGTCTATTCAAAAGTGTCTGGTGATCAGTATTTGGCCCACGGTCCACCTAGTGACTACCCCTGGATTACGTACTTCCTATTTGTGAAGTCAGCAAATCCCCTTGAGGGGAATTAAAGTCTTGTAATCGTTCTTGGAAAAGCTATTGAAAAAGGTGTGGATTCTTGAAAAAGGTGTGGATGCATGTCATTAACAGAACGAGTATGTTGGTTCAGAAGATAGTCAATGAAGCAGAGAAATAAAGAAAATGATTCGCAATAACCCACCTTGGGGGCTTGTGGAGTCTTTGGTTTCTGAAAGAACCTGGTGATTTCTGCCTTCTGTGCATTAATGCGCTGGAATCAGAGAGTTGAAATACATGTTAACTTGTTAAATGAATGTTAATATGGCCCAGTCTTTAACAGGGGTTACACTCTTTAGCTCACTAAAGTCCAAGATGAGGTATGGAGTGAGGGATTTGGTCTTTTTGTTCAGATCCTGTAATACAATGAAACATTAACAAAAAGGCTGTTGGTTTCTGTGAAACACCTAGTACGAACCTGGACACCAATAACGAACAACAACAAATGAATGTACTACTATTGCCTTGTCCTGCGTTGGAATCCTATAACTGAACACAACAAAAGTGTGCAGGCTAAGGAGGCTAGGTGTTTGGATAAGGGGTTGCTCCAGCTCTGTTTTCTCCTGCTTTAAATTCATCACTTGAGTGACTGTCAGAATTTGAGTGGGAAGAATGATGCTTTGGTGGAGGGCTTGTACTGTTATCCTGTGCAGAGGATGGGTTATGACAGCTTTTGATGGAAGATCTGTCGAAAGCCCATCACATTATCCTTTCTGAGCAAGTACTTGAGTTGCTCCCCAATGACTTTTGGAAGGATTTCCATATTCCCACTGTTCCCCATTTCTAGCCCAGAGTCCTGAAAGGTGAGAATTTCCATACTGGTCCAGATATTCCTTCACAAACAAAACGAGAAGGCCAACAACTCCATGCTGCAGCATGATTTGTGAGCATTGTCGAAAGAGGCAAGTTCAGCAAGGATTTATGGACAGGCCAGCAGCTTGACAGATCAGAACAGAGGAAGCTTTTATGTTTTTTGGGGGAGAGGAAGGCGGAGATGGACAAGTATGAACACAGGCAACAGCACTCATGGGAGGAATGGATAGAGAGGTACCAAAGCATCACTGGTGGAGTAGTGCAATAAGACTAGATTGAAGGGAGAGCAAATGGAGAGATTCAAAGAGGGGGATAGAAAGGGATATTAGAAGCTATGTTCTGGATGATCTAGCAAGGGGTAATGTGGGTGTCAGGGTGATCAAGAACACTAGCAGTCTCCAATTCCAGTACAAGAACCTAGATAGAAAGCATCAGAGGGACAGCAAGACTCCAAAATAAAGAAATTTTTACCTTTTCCTCCTCTTTTAACCGTTTCTCCTCCTCTTTCTTCCTTTTCTCTTCAAGTTTTGCCCTTTAAAATATAAAGTTAATTTAAGGAGTTACCATACAAGTCATTAAGGTGACAGTCTTTATTATTTGTATTGTGGTAAAGCCTAGGAGCTCCAGGCATGGACCAAGACCCATTGTACAAATGGAACAAAAGGACAGTCCATTCATTTGATCAAAACCAGCAAGAATGTGGAACAAAAGAGACTATTTGTGTCTTCTGCACTGGAAGTTTATATGTTCAACCATGTCTACATGACTAGTTATCCATTTTCAACTCCCTCCAACACCCAGAAGAGGGATTTGTGTTTGTAACACAAACTTTTTTAAAAAAAGAGAAGTTCCCCAGCCATGACATGAAAAGGAAAAACCTCAGGTGGAGCAGGAAACCTCTTTTCAGCCATTCATAGGAGTTCAGTTTATCATCTGCATTCAAGTAGAAAATTCTTAGGACTAAGGGCAGATCCACATAGTTAAAACTGGTACTAAAACTATTTAGAAACAGATAGTTAAATCAAGGCAACCCCTTAATGTTGATACAGTTATACTGGTTTAAAGGTGCTTATAGAAATAAGCTACGCCAATATAAGTTACAGACACAAATCACTTACTCTAAAGCTTCCTGTCTCTCCTTGCGTTTTTCCTCCTTCACTCGTAACTTCTCAGCCTTTTCCTTTTCATCTTTTTCCTTTTTCTCTCTCCTTTCCTTTTCTTTCAATTCTTTCTCTTCCTCTTTCTTCTTCTTTGCCTCTTCCTTGGCCCGCTCTTTTGCGGCTTTTGCCTCTTCTTTCAGCCTCCCTTTTTCTTCCTTTTCTGCTTGCAACTTCTGCAGCTTATCTGCACGTTCTTGATCCTAGTTGCCAAACAAACAGTTCAATAAATGTCCCTATCATGCAGCTGTGTATCAAAAGAATAGATTAGCACAACTGTTTGTGCTGTTGGGCTACTGGTGTAAGTTCTTGCACTGAGTCTTTAGCCTGTGGCCTGGTCTTGTTTCAGGTTACCAGAGAGGAGAAAGAGACAGAGGATTTACAAACTGTCATTAGTTGCCTGGCCAAGCTAAGCCATTCTGTGAAGCTGGTCCTCAAACACCTGTTGATGAATGGGTTTGGCTCCCTCTCTCCTCCTCAATGGGCCTTTCAGTTGTACAGTATTTTAATCATGTTCTGCATACTGAAGGAAGTGTGTGTTCCATTTTGCTGTATGTTTTAATAATTAAGTCTGAGAATACATATTTGTTTATGGAAATTTAAGTATACAGAAGGAAGACTTCTAAATTTGATTATGGTAGTTTTTAAAAGATATTTGGGGAAATACATACCCTATTATGTACTGCATTTTCATGCTCTTATTTTCATTTATGGCTACCTACCATTAGAGATTCCTAATGTGAAAACCCAATTAGAAATCACTTTCATATCCAGATGGAGTTTCTGAAGGAGACCCACTTTACTTCCTAAAAACATGATGAACACCACCATTTGCATTATGCAGCTGTTTTATTTCCTATAGAACTCTAAAAGCAAGGAGACATTTTTACTGGTGCATCAGGTTCATTTCACGTAATTTGACACCTTGGGTTGCTATGATGATTTAAGTAGTATTATGGGAGGAGTAGGGAAGGCAAACACAAGTGATGTTAGAACTTACATTATAATATCCTGAGGCAATCCTGAGCTATTTTTCTCAGTTGCAGCGTGTACTGAAATATTCTGAGGTTGTGTTGTGTTATGTTTAGTACAGCAATAGATCCCAAGATAGCCCCCGTCTTGATGGCACTACATGCACATGCTATACCTGGGAGCTAAGGAAATCTGTAGTCAGACATCCAAATACCCCATACTGTCAGTTTCTAGCTTCTGTCTACTGAGTTCACATTTCAAGCCTCCAGCAGATGCCTATATTTACCAAGCAAAGCTTGTGCTGCACAGATATCTGCAACAGAAGTCTGAAAATGTGCTACAAACTTATGTCTATGGTAGCAATCCTGTAAAGAATGCGTTAGTAAGAACTTCAGAGCATTGAGTCTTTTTAGCAGTCAATGAAGATTTATTGGCCGACATGGCTTTGTAAGTTGTCGAGAGAACAGCAAACCTTTATATATAAGCAAACAGCAGGAGCAGTGCACTAAAGAGGCTTCCACTCAGCCCACTCAAATGTCTGAAAGTAGGAGTATGTATATATGGAACAGGAGAGTACAACAGATTGCTTTTTATATGCAACATACTTTGTGCCGACAAAGATTTTTAAGTCTGTCCCAAACTCCATCCAAACTACAATGTTAATGTAGCTTATATGAAACATTCAGGCAATAATTAAATCTTGTAACCAAGTTACTGAGAGAACATGGTAGGTGCTCTTAAGTGATGCTTGTTTTAGTAATTCTGGCAAAATGCCGGTCTAGTTCCATCATGCAACAAAGTAAATCCTTGTTGCAGATTATGCATAAAATTCTGTTTAATCAGAGGCTTTATATTAGCACTTCATTACAGGAAAGAGTTGTATGGAAGTGACATTACAGGATAGCACCATAACACTCCAAGGGAGTGGCTGACCTGTGGCTTTCTAGTGGATATAGGATGCAGCTCAAAAATGCTGCCGGAGCGGCACCTGCCGGCTCATCCAGCAAGTCACATAGGCAAGCAGGCCACTGTCAGATTTATTTATTTAAATGGAAACTGGACACCATATTTGTAGCTGTCGAGAAAAGAGGAAGAAAGTTGAAGAAGGTGGCCCAAGAGCAAAGGTTCTTCAGGATTTCCAACCTGTCTGGTAAAAATGCATGGCAAGAGGGTATCGATATAGTCAGTTAAAAAGTTTGAGGAAAATAAAGAATCCTTCTCAGCATTTCTGAAGTCAGTGGGAAACAACCTTTTTTTTTTAATTCATATCATAGTGCATATCACACATGAGATAAGCAAAACTACCAATGCATTAGGCAATTTCCAGACAAGCCAAGAACTTTTAACTGCATGCACAAAGATTCCACATTCCTCAGTTAGAAGAACTGGAGAGGCAGGAAGAGAGGTGTTAAAGTGGACCAAAAGGAAACGCAAAAGGCTTTGCTTACTATTCAATGCAAAAAGCACAGCAGGTAAACTTTCTAGGTCAGTGAAAATGCCTTACTCTTTGCAATCTCAGCTTCTCCTTCTCCGCAGAACTTTTGAGGAATTTCTGATACACCTGAAATTAGAAAGTTACAGATGTTTTTAGATTCATACTGCCTACATCATTCTCAGTATCTCAATTGCTAGAGCACTTTCTCCAGAAGAGCTCAACCAAAATTTGCTGTAATTTTAGACATCCAATAGCATGTTTGATAGGTTAAATATTCCTACAGATTAGGAAGCAGGTTTCAACTCTTTTTATTCCTAGCCAATCTGACTGATTTACCAAGCATGTATTTATAAGAATTTATTGCAAACCGAAGCTTGTGCTACACTACATACTTTAGCATTAGTATATTCTTCTCTAATGTACCATCACCATGGTATATTTAGAAAACCATGTTTTTATTTTTGTACATATACAAGAGCAGAAATCAATCACAAAACCACTAACACATAACAAGGGGAGCCAAAGCTATAGCAAAGTTAGATCCTACTGACTGCCAATATTTTGCTCTAGCATGCCACTGATTTGTGCCAATATGGTGGAGCCTCATTACCCAAATAAAAGGAGTGGCCTTAACAACCATGGGACAAGAAGTTGTCAGAGAGAAGAAAGGCCCCTCTTGTTCTTTCCATTCCACCAAACAGTACATCTATGCTTGTTTTAGAATTGTATAAATTTCTGTATGGGCAACTGTGGAATACCAAACAATTCAATTCACATGATTATTAAATGGATTAAGTTTGTCTGTAGTATTTTATGTAGTTTCATTAGCTTTGCTAAATCCCTCTATTCTCTCCTTTTCTAGGCTTCTCAATACAGATCAGGTAGTACAATGTTTTACTCATCTGGAGGAGATCACTCAATACACAATTCCTATTCTGAAAGATGTATGCTTATGCAGTATAACCAAGCAATGGTCCTGCACTCAGCCTCGTATAAGAAAGGATGCAGTGCTTGCCACAAGGTCCTTTGGCTCAATAAAGCCATATAAATTTTTTTTTATTTAATGTAACTTTGTAAAGAAGCCAATACCAGGACACAAAGAACAGACACTCTAGTATGTGCTGTTTTTCTCATTTCTGGCAAAAGAACCATTACATTCAAATACCAAGGATATGACATTTTACATTATTTTGAAGTGTGTGGAACGCAGGTTACGCCCCTCCCAAAATCCTTTATTTCGTTACACTGGCAGTTTTGTGGCAAGATTTCCAAGTGGAGCTTTTGTTTAAAAACAGTGGTTTACAACCTCATTATACCAAAAGCCAAGCACATTTACCTTTTGCTGCCATACTGCAGTACTTCATGCTTGTTACAAGTATGGTAACAGACAAGCTTATAGTACTAGATAGGAGCATACTGTCAATTCAGGGATCAAGATCATAAGTTGTAACTAGGCTTGGAAGGATTACATTTTTTTGGTAAGCGTCAATTTCACTGTACACACAAAATATTTCCATTTATAATCAAAATTTACAGGTAGCCAAAGAAAGAAATGCTGCTTGAGAACTTAACAGTTATTTTTTGTCAAGGTCTAAATTTCTTGGTCAAGGTATAGTTAAGGTCCAGGTTCTAGAGAAAATTTTTAAAAAGTAAATAAAAAGATTTCAGGATCTGTTCAAAAGCATCTGGTGGTCCAGATTTGGCACGCAGTCCACCTATTGACTACCTCTGAAATTTAAGGATATTTACATTGTATATTTTGACATGTAATGTTGCCAATTTGTGTTTTAATGGTTATAAAGTTTTAAGTTTTTGAACCTTTGATCCTCCCATGATTTCCCACAACTGTGAAAACGTAAATGGATAAAAAACAGAAGTTCTTACACAACTGATATCCATAAAAATTATATAAAAAAATTTAATTCTGCCAAGCCTACTTGTAACTTAAATCAATAACTCCTTCTTGCTAAAAACAGCAGCCACTGATGTAACAGAAATTAGAAATGGAAGACATGTAACATCATGAAGGCCAAACCCCAGCCAGTGTATAATAGTACTCTGCAGTACACTTTAGTGTTTTTTCCAGTTCAGTTATGATATCCCCAGTAATTGAGCTTCCACTACCTCACTTGGCAAGCTATTCCACAATCTAATTCATCAGCAAGTTTCTGGTATTAGGCTATGAGCCCTTTAATCGTATTCTATTACTCCTTTGTATCCCCTAAATAATTTCTCTCCATTCTCAGTGTTTACACCTTTCAGTTGCATGTGTCCCCCCACTGCGCACTCCCTCAATCATTTGGCCAAGCTACACATTTTGCTCTCAATCTTTCTTCATAGAGCAGTACCCACACCCTAGCCCTGAACCTCTTTATTAGAAAAACAATTACAAAATTAAGTGGTAGCTAGAACTAAACAAGTACACAGACAAGACAGTCTACCCCACTTTTGCACTGAAGGAGACTGCAGTGCCCAAAGCATAGTTACAAGGTCTGCTCCGGTTCAACAATATTAAGCATCAGGTCTTTGTGCTTCATGCAAGAGAAACTCCCACTTTACATCTCAGTTGATAGATTCCAGAAAAGCCTATTCACTTCTCAACTTTGTTCAAGCCATTTGATTAATTGTTTGAGCACTACTGGTGCAGATTGCAGTTTCAAAAACCCAAGCTTCCCTCTCAGTGCACTGCCAAAAATCATGGTGTTGTAAAGGTTCTAACAATCACTAGAACAGAAGCCTTAGTTGAAACTAATTCAGTAAGTGCATACAATTAACACACCAAGCTACCATGAAGCTTAATTAGTGTAGATGTGTGTTTACTATTATATTCCACTCTCCATGCTGTTGGTCAGTCTCCATGCTGTTGGTCAGTCAGCCATGTGCCTCAAATAGTTTTGTACTAATTCTTTAGGAAAAGTCAAGCAATGGATAACTGCACATGATCAGACGGTGTATACTTTAACAAGATGGCTGACAGCACAAGATTTGCACACCAATTTTAAGAGATGCAGAAAAGTAGTTTGAGTTGCCCTCTTCCCACTCCCACAGAGCACAGGGATTTGTAGTTATGTTGTTCTGAAATAAGGCTTGCAGTTTGAGTATTTTCTATCCTTCAAGCAATTTTACATAAATATTACTGCCTTTTTTGTAAAAAAAAAGTATTTTGCACACTTTAACAGCTTTTTCCACAACCTAAAAACTCAATCTTGTATATATAGGAGGACTTGCAATTCCAACAGCTTCATAAAAGGTAAGATTTTAAAATGTCTACAAAAAGAATGATTTTTGGATACTGCTGTTTACCCACATATTATACCCAGGTGTAAAGTCACAGGGCTTCATGACTAAGTTATGAAAATATACTTGTGATAACATTAAAATATACATCTTAAGATGCACTGATTACACACATTATTTTAACTAGTCATTTTAGAAATCGCTAAGAATCCAGCTCTTTACCTCTTTACTCAAGATTTGAGAACCTTGCTCACCATAAGAGTGATGAACTTTTTGCAAAAGTATATCAACTTACAATACTTTTCAGAACTCTTTCCATGACCTTTAACAACTTGAAATGGCAGAACAAAGTGATTTAAAAATCCTAGGACAGATTGTGGTGGGAGACCATGCTAGCTGCATGCAAATGAAAAACATTTAAAAACAAAGAAACCAACCTTCCGAACAGGTATTGAAGCAGCTAAAGGACTAGTATCACTCCTGTTCTGTGGGACAGGCTGTGCCTCAGGTGAGCTGGTAGAAGAGGGGGAGCTTAATGAGGAATTAGTAAGTATAGAGTCTCCTTCAGGAGAAGATTCCATTGTCTCACTTTCCGAGGTTATACTTTCTTCCAAAGACACAACCTGGGGAGACCTCGCAGTCATAATATCCTCCAGAACTACTACAGGCATCTTCCCCTCAAATATAACACCCTTGAGTTCACTCTCATTCTCCAGATTATTACACTGTGTATTTGATAATTTAGAACAGGATTTGGTTACATCTATTGAGTCTTCATCCTTATTTGCAGTAGCTTCAAAAGGTGGATTGGTATCCATTGAAACATCCATTTGGGCATTCTCAATGGGCTTTAATGGACTCAACTGGCTTGTATCTTCTGTCATACCATTAGTTGTCTCTACAGATGAAGATGCTTCTGAATTTAATTTACTGTGGTCTAGGCCATCACTTAGTGTGTGGTTAGAGTCCTCTGTCAAGTCAAATATGAGTACCGTTTCTCTTAAGTTATTTTTCATGTTTTTCTGTAAAAAGTTATCTAACGGACCCTTTCCGTTAACAAGTTTGGGAGCAAACTGCATTTCAGAATCCAACTGGCAGTCATTCTCCATATTGTCCAAGGATGCATGTGATGTATCTAGATTGGTATCTTTATTTTGACCAAGAACATCTTGTGAGCTCTTTGCTTTCTTGACTTCCATGCCTGTGTCATATTTCTCCTTTGGTACAAGATTCAAACGCTTGAAAGGCAACCGTGCTGAAATAGTAAGATTTCATTACTTTAGTAAAATCATACAGATCAGCAGGGGAGAAATGAAACATATTAGGAAAGTTAATGGGTTCTTAAGAGTACAAGAAATCCTTTATTGGTTCATAAGTGAAGTTACTACATATACTGAACAGGATTGGTTTAATAAGTCTATGCAACATTTGATGTCTAATATTTTAGAAAGCAAGCTGGCTCAGGAACAAATCTCTAACCCTCTCCAGAAAGTTACCTTGTACTAGTTTCCGGATAACTGGCTTGTCTCTGCACTCCATGGCTGTAAGTAGAAAACAGACACACATTTATGTTTAGCTCACGTTTCTGACAGACTCAGGAAATATTCGTGTTATGATGTCAGTCTATCAGCAGCGACATCGTTAGAGATAAAGCATTTGCCGCTGGCTCCAGGAATAAGATCTCCCTGTCCTAATCACAAGTGGAGGGGGGCAACCAGACCGGGATCAAAAGGATGAATAGTGGAGAGCGCAGGGGTTTTGCAAGGCCAGACCCCGCTGACTGTTCAACGGGACATGCGACCCTTCTCCCCCGACCGCGGGCAAGGTGAGCAAGATGGGGCAGGTGGCCTCTGGAGCGGCACGACCGCGGCGACGGGGCGGGTCGACTACCCTTGGTCGGGGCCGCAGCCCGTCAGAACCAGCCGGGGCTGGTAGCTCGACGTGTTGAGCCCCCCGCGCCTAGGCTGCCCCACGGGGGGCGCATCATGCCCCTTGCGCCCCAGGCTCTGCGGGCGCCGTGGGCCTCGCCCCCAAGTTACAGACAGGGCGAGGGGGGCCCCCCAGAGCCGGGAACAGAACCTCGGGCTCGGGCCGCGCCTGACCCGACCCACCCCCGGCCTTGCGAGGGGCGCCGGGCGCCATCCCCGGGGGCGCCGCCTCCTTCCCTCCGCCCCTCCGCGGCAGCCCCCGGGCCAAGGGGACGGAAACCCCGGCGGGCCCCGCTTCCTCCACGCCGGGGCGGTCCCCTCAGCCCCGGGCTCCTTCCCCCGCCACAGCCCCGCTCCCCCTCAGCCCGTACCTGCCATTCCCCGGCCGCGGAGCGCGGCCCTGGCTCCTCCCCCCGGCGGCCGCAAGGACCGGGGCGCGCCAGCTTCTCCCGCTCGTATTTGGCGGGAGCCTCGGCGGCTCCACGCTTCGCGCCGCTGATAGGCCCAGAGAGCCCCATGTGACCTCGGCCCCGCGAAGCCTCGCGAGAAGCCCCCCCCCGCCGCAGCCGGCTCCCGGAGGCGGGGGTGAGGCCCCGGGCTGCCGCCCATTGGCTGAGGGAGACGGCGTGCCATTGGTGCAAACAGCTGCCATCGTGCCGTGCCCGGGTCATGATTGGCTGCGGCACCCACGGCTGGGTCGTGGCTGTGAGGTTGGACAGGTGAGGGTCTCGTGCTGCGCAGGTGGGCGCAGGGGGCTGCGCCGCTCTGCTGCGCCCTTCTTGTGCGATGGGACCCAGCCAGAGCGTGACTGTGACTCAGCGTGAGGCCCCGCTTCCCCTCTGTGTGTGCCCTTGCCGGGGGCCCTGCTCCCCCTGCGTGTGACCCCCCCCAGTGCCATGACGCTGAGTGTGCAATCAGTCGCGCTTCCCGTGAGCGTGCAAGGGGCCTCCTTCCTGTGCACGAGGGCCTGCTCCCTAAAGTGTGACCCCTAGCATGCAATGACTGAGTATGCAATCACCTAGGATCCTGAGTGTGCAAGAAGTGTGCAAGGACCACAGTGCAAGGACCACTCAGTGTACCTGAGTGGAATGCCTAAGTGTACAGTCAACTCTGCCCTCCCTGGGTGTGCAGTGGATATATTCAAAGTGGACTGGGGGCCCCCTGAAAAATGGGCACCCCATGTGCTTCTGCTTCGGATCAGGGGAAGTCCCCCGGACCCTGACCCCACTCCCCATCAGGAGCACTGGGCGGGCAGGGGAAGTTCCCATGCCCTGACCCTGCTCCCCGGCAGGAGTGCTGGGTGGGTGAAGTGATGCAAACCCCCATGCTCTGACCCAGCTCCCTAGCAGGAGCACTGGAGGGAGGGAGGGAGGCCCCCCCCACTTGCCTGGCCCAGGGCCCCACCAAACTGTAATCTGCCTCTGAAAGCAGGAGTCATAAAGCCAAATTCTGCTTTCAGTCATGCTGGTGTAAATCCTGAATGATCCAATTAAATCAGTGAATTGATCCCAGGTTTACACTGGCACAAAAGAATAATTTGGCCATGCAGTGTGTACCCATATGAACCAAAGCAAAGACGCTGGAGAAATGTGACCCAAACCTGCTGAGTTTCTGACAGCTCTGTCTGTCTAGTAGTCCTGACTCCTAGTCCCTTCTCTAATTTACTGAATAGTGCTCCCTGCCAGTATATGAGCACAGGGGTAATGAAGAACATAAGGGGACTTAGTTTCCTATTGGCACAAACCCAAAAAATCCTGTGGCACCATCCCCAGGTTCCTGAGCAGTTATGTAGAGGGGCTCTGCAATGTAAGTGAGCATGCATGCACACAAATGGTTTAGTGTGGGGAAAACATGCAATGGCTGGTGTGTGTACCTCTATATGTGTGAATGTGAAATGAAATGATTGCTCACGAACACTGGGGCAAATTTTGCAGGTGCAGTATTTGGACCTATTTACATCAATCTAATAATTTAATTCTGAGTGTTACTAATTATTCACTTACTCCTTTATCTGGAAGTCACTGAAAAGGACTTGTTATACCATATGTTTATTGCCCATAGGAAAGAAGTATTGATTTCTCAGGTCAGTTCTGCCAATCCAGTCCTATAGTCCTCATATTATCAAAAAGTGGTGAACTAGAGTCAGATACAAACTATCAAGGCATCCAGTGAGACTTCAATGAGCATTTGTTTAAGAACTCATACAAAGAGTTTAGCCAAAATTCTAGCATAACGCAGACGCAGCAAGAATCACAGAGAAAAGTGCATTCAAGACAATGTAAAGAATTCACAACAATTTAGAGCTTATTTTGAACTCCTTTGGGTTTGGGAAGGTTTTTTGAAGAGCAGAGCAAGTGACTTCAATTCCCAGGTAAGGACGGATTGTGGTCCAAATGCAGTGTGCCCTTTCGTGCCCACTAACAAAAGTGAAGGAAGACTTGTGGCACCTTAGAGACTAACCAATTTATTTGAGCAAAAGTGGGCACCATTGCAAAGGGAAGGCAAAGATCTTCGTTAATGGGGCTTCTGAAGCAATATACAGAGAATCCTGAAGCCTGCACTCAGAAAGCCAAGTAGGCAGAATGCTTCATGGAGACATCATCAGGAACTCACAGTTGAGGTTCTATGGAGATCAGGATTTGAAGCAGGAGTTTGTGTAATTTCTGTTTTTGCCTCAGTGTTTGAATAACAGTAATTGTGGGAAGAACCAGACTTCCTGGGACGTTTATTCTTTGAAAAAATACCTAATTTTAAAAACTAAATATTTGAAAATTGGCCATTTTTGGTATTACAGGCAGGACTGTTTGGCAGGCAAGCCTATTCTTAAATTTGCCACACACTTCCCACTATAAGATCTTGTTGTTTTGCTTATAAGTTTACCGAACTTTAACCATTTCTGCTGAAATTTTCCAAACTGGGTGTCTGCCTCAGGCTGATCATTTTATTTATTTGCAAAATTTCTGCCAAAACCAGAAGTCTGACAAAGTTACAAAGTGACCTGAAATTTTGCACTTAAAGCAGGAATCCAATCAGAACTGTGGCTTGGATCCACATCATAGCATAAATCAGTTATAACCTCTGTTTTCACCCAGCATGTTGGGGTGCTGGCGACAATCTTCCCCCCTATTGCAGAGGCGTCAGCCCCAATGCACTGGAGGTGGGAGAAAACTCAGAGATCCAATAGCCATAGGTGTGAAGCAGGGCAGCATGGTCCCTCCTTGCTCATGGCAGCTGGCCCCACATGAGGCAAACCGAAGGGGACCTGCCCATATTGTACTTACGTGCCTGTGCTTAATTTATGTTTTCAATTATTTACCTTCTAAAAAAATCTGGCATGTCTCGCACCCCCAGAAAGGGCATCTCACACCCCCAGGGGGTGCATGCACCCCAGGTTAAGAACCACTTCTCTAGAGGGAACTATGTCTGACAGGGCCCTGTGGTGCCCATGGGCTTTTGCCCCCCAGGGGTCCTCAGAGGCCTCCCAGTGCACCCTGTCAGGTTGGCTCAATTCACATTAGGCACCCCAGAAGCCCCAGACCTCTGAGGAGGCATAACCCCAAGGCCAGAAACTTCTGGAGTGAGATGATGACAGGGCAGACTCATGGAATGATGCCTGGCTGTGCTGGTGGAGGCCAGGATTTTGTATTAGGTCTGTAACATTCGGGAGTGGGTGGTGTCTGTCTGTCTGTCTGGGAAGCTCTGCTCCAGGCAACTTGGGAGTCCATCTGTCTGTCGCCTTGTGTCTGAATCTCGATTTGGTATGTCCATCTGTCTGTCCCTGTGTCTCGCAGTCTGTTCTGTCTATTCTTGTGTCTCCCTGGCTCTGGCCTATCTATGCTGGGCCAGATGGTGTTCAGCTCCAGAGGCTGGAAGAGGTGGAAGCCTGTCTGCGACTGGGCGGAAGAAGCAGATTACGGACTCACTCTCAGGCACTGCATACACTCCTTGCATGCCCGGTCTCATTCCAGTTCGGTTACATTTCATTGGTGTGACAAGCTTTGCACATGTTGACCACATATGGAAAGTCTCATGCACAAAAACAGAACACGTGCCCAGGCTTTTGCACTCGGAGGGGTGTCCCTGTCCTCTCTCTGAGACACTTGCACAAAACTTCCTAACTGTCAGGATAGTTAAGCACTGAAATAAATTGCCTAGGGAAGTTGCGGAACCTCCCTTATTGGAGATTTTTAAGAGTAGATTGGACAGACACGTGTCAGAGATGGTCTAGTTAATGCTTGGTCCTGCCTTGAGTGCAGAGGACTGGACTAGAAGACCTCTCGAGGTCCCTTCCAATCCTATGATCTATGATATGCTGTCTCTGGTGCTTCAGGGTTGATATATCAAAAGCTAGTGTTGTTAGTGAGCAGCTCAGGATGACAGTGAAGTAGTAACATAGCTGCAGATGGAATGCTGTGGTGGTCTATCTGCCACTTGTTCCTTAAGGGGAAGGCTATGTTGAAAGTGAATTTTATATGTGGAGCGGAAAGTAGTGAGGTGTCAGTGGCTGAATCTTGTCCAATTTGTGATTTCAGGCAGGCACATTAAACCCAGACAAAGCACAAGCTACAAGGTCAAATTCTGTTTTCCATGATATTGGTGTAAATTTGGAATAATTCCACTGCAGTCAATGGAGTTAATCTCAGATTTACACCAAAGTAAATTTAAAAAATGCATAGAAAACAAAACAAAACAAAAAAACCCAAAAGCCTCCACCCCCCAACAGCCACACACACGAAAAAGGGAACAGGAGAAACCTTTTCATATTTGTTTCTCCAGGTATAGAACAGGTAGAGTTGTAGGAACTCATCTCCAGGGAGAAGAAACAGAGTTTGGGGTGAAAAAGTGGTTGTGCCTAATAGGGACAATTTTGTGGCAACCTTTTTTAGGGTTGCGAAATATTCAAATGAGACAAACATGCACTTAACAAACTGTTGCAAGCTTCTTTTTCAACCGTGGGCATATTTCTTGGAGTGGAGGATTTTTTTCCAGGAATTCAGTGTTAGGAATGCATTTATTGTGAAACACTGATCATGTATCGTCAACATTCATTGCAATCAAAAGACTAGCTTGGATTTTTCACTCCAAACAGTTAATTACACTGACTGCTTGTTCTGTTGGATTGTTTGTTTCTGATTCTGGACTGGTTCTGATATTAGAACTAATGGTACCCGGTATAACAAGTCTTGAACAAACCTAAGGTTCTGATTTATGAAATTAAAAACCAGAACATATCAGGTGTTCCAAAAGAATTTCCTGGGACACCAAGAAATAATATGGAATAATGGGATTGTGCTGGTAAAACTAATCACTTTAAGTAGTTGCAATCCTAGAAACAGTTATACACGTGCTTAACTTTACTAATGTGACTAGTCCCATCAATGGTTATGCCTATGAAGTCAGTGGGCCTACTCAGAATGCATAAAGTTAAGCAACTCCATAAGCCTTTGCAGGATGGTGGGGGAGCTATGTGTTTGCAGGACTGAGCTCTGAAAGTGAAAGGTCTTCTGTTTAAGGACTGTGACTTCATACCATCTATAATATGCTTAGGGCACTGTTGGCAGTATATAAATGATAAATAATAATAATGCTCCTCAGTTTTGATAGTTAATAGTAAATCATTGCAATAATGGTGATGAGAAAATTAGCAGTGATAAAACCATTGGAATCGTGACAGTAGTGAAAATAATAGCCGTTTTACTTGGTCATGGTGAAAACGATAATAGTGATCAAAAGTTGAGCTATTAGTAATGGGAATTATAATAATTCTGTTGCTCAATAGTGATAATAATAGTGATAGCTGTTAATCACAAGTGTACACAGTACACCTGCTCTCCCAGCCTGGCCTATGTTTGTTACTGGGTCTCCCGCTCTCTATGGTACTGCTGCCTGCAGGGGGCGTTGTAGCAGCACATCGCCTGCAGGGTGACTCTCTAGCCGCGGCCTCACTTTCTATGGTGCTGCTGTTGGGACATTCTCTCACGCGCCCATATCTATGATAGTGGCTTAGCCAGAGGGTGGATCTTGCTCCCCCGGGCCGGTAGGGGGCGGAATGATTCCTGGTGTGACGCTCTAGCAAAGGGGCCGTCAGTCCCTCCGCGGGGCTGGCCCGCTTCCGGCCTGGCCAGAGGCGGAAGTGTGCGGCGCGGTGCCATGTAACTTCCGGAGAGGAGGGGGCAGAGGAGGCGCTGCGCGGGGAGCCGGGCTGTGTCTGTCTGTCTGTTTGTCTGTGGCGCTTCCCCAGGGCTGCTGGGGCGTCTGTCCGCCTTCGTGTTCCCCTCGGGCTCGGGTCTGTCTATCCCTGTGTCCGGCGCTGTCTGTCCGCCTTCGTGTTCCCCTCGGGCTCGGGTCTGTCTATCCCTGTGTCCGGCGCTGTCTGTCCGCCTTCGTATTCCCCTCGGGCTCGGGTCTGTCTATCCCTGTGTCCGGCGCTGTCTGTCCGCCTTCGTGTTCCCCTCGGGCTCGGGTCTGTCTATCCCTGTGTCCGGCGCTGTCTGTCCGCCTTCGTGTTCCCCTCGGGCTCGGGTCTGTCTGTCTGTCCGTCCCTGTGTCCGGCGCTGTCTGTCCGCCTTCGTATTCCCCTCGGGCTCGGGTCTGTCTATCCCTGTGTCCGGCGCTGTCTGTCCGCCTTCGTGTTCCCCTCGGGTCTGTCTGTCCCTGTGTCCGGCGCTGTCTGTCCGCCTTCGTATTCCCCTCGGGCTCGGGTCTGTCTATCCCTGTGTCCGGCGCTGTCTGTCCGCCTTCGTATTCCCATCGGGTCTGTCTGTCCCTGTGTCCGGCGCTGTCTGTCCGCCTTCGTGTTCCCCTCGGGCTCGGGTCTGCCTGCCCTGGGTCTCAGGCTTGGGGCTGTCCAGGGTCTTGCCTGTCTGTCTGTCCCTGTGTCAGGCTCTCCCCGACCAGGCTGTGGTCGGTCTATCTGTCCTAGGTCTCAGGCTGTCTGTGTGTCTTGTGTGCTGGTCGGTGCAGGCCTGGTCGGTGCCTGGGCCCCCCCGAGGCTGGGAGAGGAGGCAGCATGTCTGTGGCTGGGCTGAAGAAGCAGTTCTACAAAGCGAGCCAGGTGAGAGACCCACAGACTGACCCTGCCCCACACCCCGCACACTCCTCATGACAGATCCCCTCCCGCACACATCTACAGCAGGTTGTCTCCCCTCTCTTGCAGGTCCCCAGTTGCATCGCATGAAGTGGGTATTCACCCATGAAAGCTTATGCTCCAATATGTCTGTTTGTCTATAAGGTGCCACAGGACTCTTTGCCACTTTTACAGATCCAGACTAACACGGCTACTCCTCCGATACTTGTCCCCAGTTGAGATACGCTTCACTGGTGTGGCAAGCTTGGCAAATGTTGGCCAAGTTTGGGAGGCCTTGTGCATGGAGCCTTAGGGGCCTGTGTTCCCAGACTCATATTGACACTCAGAGGTGCTACCCTGGCTCTGTTATCTGACACTTGCACACCTATAGGGGCTTCTCCACAGATCCCTTACAGTTGCACCCTCAGAAAGTCTTCTCCCATTGCACCTTCGGACACTTGCACTCACACTGATTCTGGAGCATCAGGGTTCAGCTAATGTGGTGCCATTTAATTCCTGGCATCACCATTTGCCCCCCGTTCAGATTTCTCTGCTGTTGTCCATGTATGTGTGTCCAGTACTAGTGCTGCTCCCTACCTGGAAAATAGTTCCTTCTTGAGTGTTGACCCAGTCTCTGAATGGTTTGACACTGCATTGCTTTACCTCAGTTTATTTTTGAGGCTGGCAAGAATGGGCTGATGTTGAAAGGAAGATGGCTCAAAATTGTAGCTGCAGAGGAGGGGTTTGTGACAGCAAAGGGAGATATTTCTGAATTAAAAGCTTCAGGTTGGCTGAGGCACTGCCAGCTGACTATACATGGCTTCATCTTCCAGGAAAATATCTAGGTTAATATCTTAAGTCTGCCTGTGCTGAGTGTCTCCACCTTTTCTCACAACAGATCTAGCCTTTCTAGTGCATACTGAGTTACCTTTCATTAATGAGATTTGTTGTGCATTTTGGTGAAAATGATGTAGGCTCACTGTAATGTTCTCTCTGATATAAACAAAGATGTGCACAGGGAGGCAGCAGGTAAAACAGATGGCTGCTTATTATTCTTGCATCCATTTCTTCTTCCCCCTCAGTTCCTACTTGCTTTATAGCCACCATTCCTCATGACTTCCATCTGTCTTGTCTCTTCACTGGGAACGAGTTTGTTCTGGAAGTGCAGAGAAGGGGTGGAGTAAATCACCATGGGATGCAGAAGTCTAATTCAGAAGTTAAATGTTTTTGGTTTAAAAAAAGATGAGCTGAATCAAATTAGTGACTTGGTGATCCTATTGTCGTGAAATTGTAGTAGAGATCTGTGTGTGGAAATAAGGACGCAGTTGTGTTTGTAATACGATTGCGGCAGGAATGCTGTAGTGTTTCCTTGTTTTGAAGGGGGAGGAATGGTAGATAAGAGCTGTCCACTGCCACAATATTGGTGTCTTGGGTTTCCCCCCTCAGCAAAGAGAGAAGAGAAATACTCTGAGTTCCTAAATTTATATGTGTGTAGTTCTTTTCCTGACAAGTATTGGATGTGGCATATAGGTCCTCTTTAAATTGCATGTCAAATCCACAAGAGAAACAATAAGATGCCACAGTGATCTATTTCTTAGGCTACTCTGTGCTCTTTAGGCTTTTATACCATCACCATGACTACTTGTTTGTTCTGAACTCAGGAAGATGATCAAGAAGCTATTCTGTCACCTGAGGTGTCATTTTAATTCCTCCCATGTATGAACCCTTCTAAAACTCAAATAGGTCATGTGGTGTTTAGTGGAAATGGTCTCTCAGAGAAATGAGTCTTCCACTGGGGCCAGTAAGCGGAGAGGTGTGTGTTCCAGGGTGATTGTCTACTAGTGCTTCTGTATATTTTATTGCTATATGTGCACCTTTCAAAGGTGCACTGCAAGTAGTGAGTGAGAATTTTCTTAGGTCTTGAACTTGTTTTGTAATGGGCAGTTTATTGTGAGTGAATTGCAGTAGTTCTCTGGTCAGTAGGCACAAGTACAACTTAAGGTTATTGGATAGAAAACTCTAAATGGCATAACTATAAGATCATAGAATCATAGAATACCAGGGTTGGAAGGGACCTCAGGTGGTCATCTAGTCCAACCCCCTGCTCAAAGCAGGACCAATCCCCAATTTTTGCCCCAGATCCCAAATGGCCCCCTCAAGGATTGAACTCACAACCCTGGGTTTAGCAGACCAATGCTCATGTGCTGCACTTCTCTGAACATTGAGTTAAAATTTAAAAAAATAAGTCACAAATCTGAAAAGACGGGAAGAAAAAAAAGTTGGAGGAAGTTGGGAAGACTGTGGAAGGTACCAAGTGGAGTGAAATTCTGGACCAGAAGGTGGGATTGTAACTAGGAATAACAGGCCCTGGTTGTACCTGGGGTCTAGTAAAGGGCAGCAACAAGCTGCAGCATAACCTCAGGAAATTCCCTCTTCCTTGATAGTAGCTGGCATCAGGAACTGGAAAAGACTTTGTGGTATGTGAATCTGGTGAAATCTGGGATTTCGGGGGTGAGTGTTTTACAGGAAATGGCGACCTTAAGATTCTGTGAGAAAACCTGTGCAAATTATTAATGACATATTAGCCAAATAGTTATTTAAAAACTCCCTCAGTAGGACAAGTAAAAACCATGGTACTGAGTTCAAAAATTCTGTGTTCAGGCTTTCATTACAAAGGAATCCTACCTACAAATCAGTGATGGGATCCAAAATTCTTCAAATAAATTGAGTCTTGGGATGACTTTCCTGCTTCTCATGGAATTCACAAACTAGCTCTCCCTTGTCCTCTTGGCTTCTGCTAACCATCCCGGTCAGAGGGGACTTATCCCTGTGATTTTTATTAATACTTCTGAAGTGAACCTTTTTTTTTAGATCATCACTGGAATGCACCAAGTATCAACAAAATTTTCTGTGGGGAGAGCACCCCTCAGATATCCCTAAACAGTGTGCATTCTCCCCCATTTAAAATGATAGGGAAGCACACAGTGTTCAAGTATCAATAGACTTGTTATATTTTCCAGGCACAAAGTGTAAACAAACCGTTCTAGTGAAGTGCAGTTTAATCCAAGTATGTTTGCTAAGTGGTTTTGTCTCCTTTCTTGGTTACGTTTGTGAAAAAGAACTTTGCTTAAAAGGAAAAACAAACTAATAGATTGCTGAAGACTTCACTCCTCCTGGCTACTTAAAACTCCTGGATCAGTGCTTTAAGATAGTCCAAGGGGAAAGGTCGGCTGGGAATCTCTTGGTTGGAGGATTTCCCTGTCATAGATCACTGTGGTGTTTTAAGCAGAGCAAATAGATGTGAAAGTTCATCTCTGAGTCAAAAGCAAGGTGTTTCTCCAGACTAAATACATCACTCTGGAACATGTGATGAAAGCTTTCTTCAGGTGGGCATATCTAAAATGAATTGAATTTCCACTTCTTTGGTTGGTGGTGGGTTTTTTGTTTCTAATATTTTCAGTTCATTTTGTAAAACAGGCACTGATCCCAGGTTCTGTGCACTTGTGCGAATGTTAAAGCCTCACAGAACTGAAGTGAGCAATAGCCACAGTGCAGAAATTTGTTGGTGGCCTGTCCCTCTCTTTTTGCCTTATTTGAATATTTGGACTGTGTCCGAGGGCAGTTTAAAAACCAGGAGATAAGGAGTCTGCACAATTGCACCTGGAGTCCTTTCTCACATCTCCCCGCTGCTGCCGCCGCCAAGATTTGGAAACTGATCTAATTCTGGCAAAACCTAGTTTAATTTGAGGCTTGCTGCCAGTGTTCGTGGCATGGTTGCAGAAGTGAATTGCATGTTTCACAGTGAGGTGGGAGGAAGGGAATCTGTCTTGCTGCACTTCTCTTTCTGAGGATGGACATGGCTAACTGCTCTGAGGTGTTTGAGTTGCTTTGACAATTGCTCAAGCTACAGTCTCTCTCTCTCTCTGGGGGGTAGGGACCAATCACACCCATTCTGTTTCCCTTGTTTCTCCCCCTTGCACACACGCACAGTATCCCACCCACTTCTGCTGTGCTCCTGGGGTGAAGGGCGAGAATAGAAGACGTCACAGGCTGATTAGTTATGTTTTGGCTCTCATGGAGGCATTGGATCTTCCACACATGTGGATTTGGCAGTGGCTTTCTTAAAGAGCTCTATTTACTTCAATTTCTGCTGTTAAACAGGGCAAGATGTATGAAGAATTTAAGCCTACGAAGGAATCTAGCAATCCTCCCTCCCTTCAAAAAAACTGCATTGTTGTGCCAGTGAGTGTGGGATCCTCTCCCTACCAACGATAGACGTTGCCAAATCCTCTTCTAGCTGAGCAAGGCGGTGCTGGTGGCCATGAAGAGGACTTGATCCTGCCCCATTGTGTTCCTTAGAGAGGCCTTTGGCTTCTCCGTCAGTGGTTTGCACTCTTCTTGAGTGATGCTGCCAGGCTCCCAGGCAGCAGCAAGCAATGGAGCTTTTAGCAAAAAAACAAAAAAAACCCAAACCCAATCCAGAACAACCCATACTGGCAAAGTGTTTCAGGTGGTGAAAGGTTATCCTGTGTGCATGCAGAACAAGTCCTTCTTGTCCAGAACTGCTTCACAGTTAAATGTCCCTCTTTTAAAAAAAGATGCAGATTTCTCCCTAGAGCGAGGAGAAGAAACAGTCTTGAGATTTCTGTTTGGTTTTGAGTTTCAGCATCTTGATTTGGGAGCAAGCTTGGAAAAACCAGTGTAGCACACTAACACGACTGTTACTCTGAAACCTGTCTTACCACTGTGTCGGTCATGGGTCTGATCCAGTCTGGCAATTCTGAAGGTCTTTCTAGGCCAGTATCCTGTCTCTGACAGGGGCTAGGTACCAGATGTTTCACAGGAAGGTGTAAGAGCCCTGCAGTAGGTAGATGGGGTGGGGAGGGGGGAAGGGAATAATCCACCTCCCGTGTAGGTCTCATCCTGCTCTCTAACAGTGAGAGATTGGCTTAAACTTTGTGCCTCACAGTTTAAGCCAAATATCCATT